CCTTGAAGGGAAAGTTAATGGAGCTGTGGAAACTTGCAGAGGTGAAGATGAGTGGGTGATGTCTAAGCGTTTCCGAAATTACTTCAATTTTTCCCATCCCCTCATTGCAAATCATTTGAACCCTGATGAGTGTGCATGGGCTTATGGAATGAATGTCTTTGATCTGCGTGCATGGAGGAACACAAATATAAGAGAAACCTATCATTCCTGGCTCAAAGAGGTAAAAGTCCATATACTCAGACTTATGGAAAATTTGCTGTGGTCTTTTATTCCATTTGTTTAAAGTTCATAATGATTAATTTCAGCTATTTGATTAATACTGTCAAGAAGCAACTAATTTGGGGCTGATTTCTGCTAATTTTGAGCCACTAAATTGATAGCATCAAGTAACACCACTTGCACACAACATTTTTCTTTCAACACTCGACCCAAAAAATTGATGTAGCTGCACCTGAGTCTGATGTAATAAAAAGGGGCGGGGGGGGGGGGTGCTTAGTGCGACCACTTTGGAAGGGGCCACATCTACAGTTGGAGGCAAGATCGTGCGACATCCTTTTTGGGGTGCACGCACTACAGTTTTCTTTCTGCTTATACATACCTGTTTGGGGAAAGGTGGCTTTATGTTTTCCTGATAAAAAATGTTCTGGGCATTGTTAACGGCTTCTCTATGGCAGAACCTGAAGTCAAATCTGACAATGTGGAAGCTTGGAACCCTACCACCTGCTTTAATTGCATTTAGAGGTCATGTTCATCCCATTGACCCATCTTGGCACATGCTTGGGTTGGGTTATCAAAATAAAACCAATATCCAGGATGTGAAAAATGCTGCAGTTATCCACTATAATGGCCAGTCAAAGCCCTGGTTGCAAATTGGCTTTGAACATCTTCGGCCATTTTGGACCAAGTATGTTAATTATTCTAACGATTTTGTAAGGACCTGCCACATCTTGGAGTCATAGTGGGGACCAAGAAGCTATGATATGCATATATATATACATATTGAACCGAAGAGATACAAAGTAATACAGGTTTTTGCAGCTTGACTTTTTATTGGACATGAATTTGAGAAGGAAGATAGAAGGAAATTGGTTGAAATGCCAAGACAGTAAGCATTGTGGGTGGATTTTGCTGCCATCCCCCAAGTTCTTGCAGATATGGTACCATCCTGACATGCTCTTGAGCAACTAGTTGAGATGGTGACACAGCAACAATACCACCTCTAGTTCTGATTCTACTTGGAGAAAGAAAGAATACTGCTATTAAGGGACAATAGAGAATATTGAAGAAAGTGAATGTAAAGATGGAGAAAGCTGAAACCTTTCTCATGGTTGGTTCTAAAAGCAGGATGCTAGGACATTTATTTTGTTGAGATTCCCCCTCTAGCACAGCTTTTTTCTTCACCCCCTTCATTATTTGGCTATTTAAATTTTTGTTAGCACCCAATTTTTACCTTGAACATATTTTGATTCGATGCCGTTATGGGGAATTATAGGAGTAGTTCATGAGATTACCATGTTACATTCCAGCTCCATTGTTTGTAGGGTAATATATTGGTATTCGTTTTGTACAATCACACCACATTGGAAATGTGCAGAATATTCTTTCCTCTTATTAAATATGCTTCTTTATCCATATATTACCTCTGTATTTACACTGTCTGGAAAGTTTAAATCAATCCTTCAAAAATATGTTTGGCGTATTGTCATGGCCAAGCCGCATTCATTTGTTAATTTAGATAATTTATTGCTGTTTCAATTCACAGGAAGCAAGTTTCACAAGTTGAGTAGTTATAAATGTGATAATTTGTGTCATTATTTATATGTAAAGGTTGGAATATGATTTTTCATTCCACGGAACAAAGTTCCAAGGTTCCCATAATTATTACTAATATATAACTGAAGTTGCCGGACGGGAATGCTAAATTTATTCTACAACTCGCCCATTTGTATTTGTTTTTATTTATTCTGTATAGCACTCAACAAAAATTTGTTCTCTCTGGGGGCATGCAAGCACATAATTTTTTAAGGTGTTTGTGATAAAATAAATAAAGGAACCCACTCACCATTTTATTTGGGAACTGTATTTTTTTTTTTTCCTTTTTGGTATTTGCTAGGCTGATGAATTTCACGGTTGAATGCTAATGCACGATTGCTTTAACCAGTCAAAAAGAATTGAATTAATTTATTTTCAAATTTTAAGTTTAAATCCTAAAATATATAGTCGAGTTAAAAAATGTTAAAAGGCATCTTAAGCTACCTTGTGAAACCATAGTTGGTGATCACTATTCCCATAAAATAGGGGTTTAGATTACTCTAAGTAATTGGTGGTAATACCACCAGATTCTAGGATAGTAAGTGATTAAATAAAATAAAAAATTCATGGTTGACTGACTAAACTTTGATCTTGCGTTGATGCTTCCAATTTTTTTTAAATATAATATCACAGAAAAACCATGTTAAAAAGATAAAAATCAAACCATATCTAAAATCATTTAGTTTTTTTAGTTTGGTGGTGCACAGTCTAAAATTTTAATATCAAATTTACCACGGATGCTTTCAAATTTTGAACGGCCGTCACACTCACACTGATTATGTATTAACATTTATTTCTTTCCATAAACGATGTCTTGGATGAAGAAAATTTATAAATTATTTTTAAATAAAAAGAGTAAATTTTTTATTTTAAAAAATAAGATCAAACAACCAAAATGCCTTAAAACTTTTTCTTATAGGGTGTCTGGCATTTTAAATTTTTTTTGAAACATTTTTGCTTTGAAAGTTTCAAAACTAATACATTTTTATCCCACCATTAAAAATCACAAACGTTAATCGTTAATTGAAGTTTGATCAAAATATTTTATAATTTTATGTTCCTTTATTTTTATATTTTTCAATCTTTATTTTTATTCATTAAAAAAAAATTAAAGGATTCACTTAAAAGCAAAATCAAAAACTAAATGCAGAAAAAAGAAAGGGAAATATAAAAATATTCTTAGCTAACGTTTAATTTAATGGCCAACAGTTATCATTTTTAATGATGGGTGAAAATACTCTGTCTGATAACTTATGAGATAGAAATATTTTAAATTTTTTTTTTAGATGACCGTTCTTAAAAAATGTTTCAGGAATTTTTGTCCAAAACCCAAAAAAAGTAATAGAATAAAAAAGTAACTGCGCATTGGTGTTCGTGTATCAAAGCGATGTACGGAATCTATGCTAATAGGTGGGGCACATTGGAAGGTACGGGGTCCCACGAGTGGTTGATTGTTCAGAATTAGGCTTACCTTCCAATTCTGACCTTTCATCATTTTTTTTTATTCAACGCAAAATTCAGGTGAACGTGAGTACAGTGACCATAGCAAGTTCAGAGCATATTTTTAAAATCAAAGAGCATTTGTAGAATTATTATAGATTATTTATTAATAAAATTTTTATATTGATAATGTAATTTAAACTCATTATTTTATAAATTATGGGCTAAGCTTTTCATCATCTATATTGACATTCATGGATTCATCTTTATTTATTATTTTCAATTCCATCAATTATTATTTAAGTTCAAATCCCATTGTAATTGTAAAGACTTTATTGATGACATGCTTTAGTTTTAGTAATACTCACTAAATCCAACTTACCTAAACTTTTCTCTATGCAACTGTTTCTATTATTAGAATTAATTGCATAATTGTTTCTATTGTAATCATCAACATTACTTTTATTTGATTCAATTAATTAAAAATTTGTCAGAATTAAACAGTAAAATAAATAGATAAATAATTTACTCATTTTAGATATTAATAGGAAAATCATTTATATATATTTTTTTTGATAATGTATATGCTTTAGAATTATCAAAAGTGTATATATTCATAGTATTTTATAATACATATAACCCATATTTTTTTTTTCTAAATCAAACTAGGCTGGCTAAAGCTAGAAATGAGAAGCAGGTCGAGCTACATAGAACCCATATAAGTTGAGTTAGAAGTTTTCTTCAACAAAAGTGAATTTAAAAGCATATTTTCCATTTTGAGACATCTCAAATTTCTCATGAGGTTGGTGGGTGGTTCAAAACGGAAAACATGTCCTCCCTGAGCCCTCTTGTCTTTTGCTGTTTTTAATTTAAATCGTTAAATTCAGTTGACGGTTCAGATGATGAGATCAACGCTCAACTTAATCTGACGGCCTGTGTTTCACCAGCGGAACAACCGGCCAACGCCCTTAATTTCCCAAAAACGGATGAAAGAAATTTACAGGGTCATAAAAAATTAAAAAAAAATCCAGAATAGAATTAAATAAGGGTCAACACAAACGAGAAAGAAAAGGAACAATTCATTTGTCGATTGAACTTATTTTTGGGTGAATATCTTGCTTCAGATTTCCACAGCACTCTGTCAGAATTTCATAGATATCCATTACTAATAAATAACTTATATTAATCAAATTTGCAATTTGCATTAAGCTAGATGGTATATTTAGATTATGTGCATGGCATAAATCTCAATTTTTAGTTATGAAGCAAATTCAGTTTGGAAAGTGTGTATTTATTACCTTTCACTTAATGTTCATCTAAACTAAACATTTATACTTATAATATTCATAATTTATTAATGAATTCATATAAAAATATATGTCGATGGACTTGTGAAATATAAATTTGGTAAAGAATTAAAGAGAACTAAATTACATGCAATAATTAAAAAAAAAACGAAAATATATTTGTTTGTATACACTTGTACCAACTAGTCAATATTTGAAGAGCTTGCCAATCATAGTAAGGGTACAATGCTAGATGTACAAGTAAAGAATGTGTCAGCAACAACGTATAGAAATGCAGTCTGATTGAAGATTGCGTTTTTGCGAACAGTGAGCGGCGAAAAAGTTCGATCTTTGAAGAAAGCAAGAAAAAGGTAAGAAGAAGAATACGAAGTGATTGGCCTCCGAAACAGATTTTGAGGACTTCGAAAACTCCGAAACAGCCTCGTCTCTTGGTACCACCATTTGATCGTTTCCTCCGATTTTTATATTCTCTTTCTTAAGAAAACGCATCCACTTCGTCTTCCACGTGGATTTCTGCCAAGCTAAGACTGTGTCACTTGCACACAACGACCATCCAGATCAGTGATAATATACCCCCAAGCGTTCGAAAAATCCGTCCAGATTTCTATTCCTTTCTTTCGCTTCTTTTCTTGTTCCTTTTTTTTCCCCCCTTCAGATTTTCTTTTTCGAATTTGTGAAGATTTACTGATTTAATGATGGTCACGCCAAGATTGGATCACGATTTGCTTGCTTAAGTATAGCTGTTACCGATTGCTCTGTGTCGGTGTCAGTGAGTTGAATTTTCGTCGTGAATTTTTTTAAAAAATATAAAGCATTACATGCTGGATTTCAATTACCTGTTTCTAGAACTTCTGACCATATCAGTTTAAATACTATTCAAACTTTCCCCCAATTTCCCGGTGTCCATATCGTATAGATGCGAGTTATCTGGGGTTTGGATGTGGCTGACTCGATTTTCTATCTTCTTGATATAAATTTGCAGAACATTGGAGGGAGATTTTGATGAATCCTTTCTCTTCTTGAAACTCAGTTGAAGTTATTTACTGGACTGTTGGATTGTTCAATTTCAAAGTTGCTTTTTGTTTCTGTGAGCATGGCGAGGAGGCAAGACCAATTAGAGATCAAGTTTCGGCTGAACGATGGTTCTGATATTGGCCCTAGAAGTTTTCCGGCTGCCACAAGTATTGCTACCTTGAAGGAGAGTATTCTTGCTCAGTGGCCAAATGGTCAGCTCTCTCTCTCTCTCTCTCTCTCTCTCTGTTTTGATATATCCTTTCATTCCTTTCTCGTGTTCCTTTGAATTGCTGGGTAAGAAGGTGTTCTATTATTCCTGTTTGCTAGTTGATATACTGGGGTAATTCATGTTAGCAAATTAAAAATCAAAGGATATCAGTGCTTGGATGGGTTGGTTTAGAGAAGGGAAATATTGAGGAAGAGGGAGAAATCTTGGTTTCTCTTATCGGAGTTTACAAATATTATGTCTGTTTACAAGAGCTTGCCGAAGATGCGGCCGTCGTTGAAGTGATGATATTAAAATAGTTAATTATTTGCAGCCAATCATTGTAAAACTTGTTTCTGTTGAGAAATGAGAATGAACTTTGTGCTGAATTGCTAAGATAACCAAGGTTTTGCTTATAGATGCGTAGCATTTTGAAATTTTGGAGCCTTTGCTTTGGCAAGAAGAATGCCTGTTTCTACGACAGCAGCATTTAAGAGTTCATAATGGGATCTCTACGGGATGTAATGGGAAACAAAAAGATACTTGTTTCTATCGCCTAATTAGTAATTTCTTTAAGTTTAGCCTCTCATTCATTCCAGTATTGTGTATCTTTTCCTTCTCAAGCGGTCTTGGACTGGTGCTTTTTAAAGAAGAAACTTTTATATTTCATTTTCGCAGTTTTTTTAATTAATTACAGAGACACATGTCTGAAGTTAAGTGTCCAAGTCATTGGTCAAGATGACAGTATAGCTGCTTATCTCAGAAGGAGTATCCATGACATGGTGCTTAAATTATATTGGAACTCATTTGCTATGGTTAAACACATTAGGGAAGACTCAAAAAAAAAAAAAAAAAAGCCTTTAGTGGCAACCAAGCTTAACGTTCATCATATACGTTGCAAATTGCTGGTATATTATGTTTGCCAGAAACCACATGTTCTGGAAAGTCACATGCAATAGTCAATGACAGCAAGTCTAGATATTTTTAACAAGTTACGATCGTGCTTCTAGATGCTTTTAATGTTGATTTAGCTTATCATGAGGTATCACTATTAACATTTTACCAGGGTTTTTAGTGCTATATTTATATTAGAGCTATAAATCTGTTTTTGTTTTGAAGACAAGGAGAATGGTCCAAGGACTGTAAAAGATGTGAAGTTAATTAGTGCCGGAAAAATACTGGAAAACAACAGAACGGTGGGGGAATGCCAGAGTCCATTATGTGATATCCCAGGTGGAGTTACAACAATGCATGTGGTCGTGCAGCCTCCTTCTGGGGATAAAGGTTTGGTATCTCTTTGCTATCACATCAAAAGTTGCTATCAATAGTTGTCTGTATCTCTAAGCTTAAGGATGCTTAGTATTGTTCTATTTAACTTTTGACAGAAACATGTGTTGGTTTAACTATCATTTATGATTTGAGTTCTATCTTTGGATCTTTTAAAAGACTCAAGGTGTTTTGTGCTTATGGATGGTCTCTTCCCTGACGGAAAGACCAGGCTACAAGTAGTAATTAAGTTGACTTCAGCAAAATCTATACCTTGATTTTTCCTTAGATTGTTATATTTCACTTGCCAAAAGAAGTCTGCAAATTTGTGATCACCTAAAAGTATTGGCTGTGTAATCCAGTTGTCAGACTCTTTTTTGTCAAAAAGTAACCACTAGCCGACAGCAAGCACCTGCTTTTAATCTTATCCATAATGATTTTTCTGTCTTCCTTTCTAGACATGGGAGAAAGCCGAAAGATTGAATTGGTTGAGTCCCCATTAACTTGATTCCGTTGGAGAACCCTTCCTTCAATTATCCATTAATATTTCTAATTCTTCACATCACTTAAGTTCGCTTTCCTGAAGACTCAACTGCCTAACTATACTCTCCAACACAGTTCTAACAAATGTAATCCACCTACTCACGTAAAAGACATAAAATTGTTTCAGTTCTTTTTCAATATTTTGAGATTTTTTTTAAATAATTTGATGACTGATGTTTTTGACCTTTTGCTGTTTCATCTAAAACAGAGAAGAAACCAAGAAGGGAGCCAAAGCCGAACAAGTGTGGTTGTGTAATATTATAGCACTCCCGGCTGAAGAGATCAAAGATGACATCGTTCCTAGGTGATCAAGTGTTACACTTGCATTCAATTTTAACATGATTTCGGACTGCCAAAGACTTCCTCATGACACAGCTTTTATTTGCTTGTCTGGTTTGTAAACAGGTAAAGAGAAATTGGCCTGGTGAAGATTGTGATGCTAGTTATGTGGTGGTGGTGGTTTCCTCTACGACAGTAAATCCTGTACACAATTTTCATAGGTGATGTTTTCCTTGGTGGTGTTTCATTGTTGGGTTGGCATAATTGTTTGTTGAAATGAAATCAACTATATACGTTGCCTTCATGCGCCTGATTATATATATATATAAATTCTTCTCATGCCTAAAGGAATATGCTTAGCAGGGTTTAACGGATAAACTTCTCGTTGCCTTCGTGCTTGTTTAAATACACAGTTAAAATAAAAAATTTAGAAGCCATGTTATGTATTAAAAAAAAATCAAAAATTAAGAACTTCACAGTGTCGCTGTGGGTGGCAAATGTAATTATTGCAAGCGAATGTTTTATTATTCTGTTATGGAGAGAAATAGATTCTCCTATTACGCAGGGAGATGAGTTTGCAGCTGCGGGCTACGGCCTTGCTTGTAGCGATTTTAGGACATGGAGTAATTTTCTGTGAAATAGTTTGAATTCGAGACCGTGATTCTCAAGATATTGCACAAAATGTATAGAAATATTCTTAGATGCTAAAGTATGGATTCCCCCCCCCCCCCCCTCTTTAGATGTGAAAACACAAATGACCTGTGACATTTGCTAAGTAATTATTGTTTAGATTATTTGTTTATTTTATTTTAAATATAGACTTGGGGTGTCAGAAGCATAATGCCGTGCCGTGCTGTCGTGGGGGTGGCGCATCAGCTCCAACGCGCTTGAGCTGTGCTGATTGATTTTGGGTTTCCAGGGTAAATTTCTTTTTAATGTAAACTTTAAAAATAATTTATTTTTATTTTAACATAATGTCCATCGTTCATTTAATTTGAATTATTTATATTTATTTTAATAATGAAAATATTTTTAATAATCAAATAAATTTATTAAAATAAAATTCATATGAGCTATCATGGTTTTTCTTTTTCCCCGATGTCGAGACCTAGAGATATTCTTTGTGCAGTAGATGGGAATATTTAAATTTTGTTTAAATGGAAAAAATTAATAGCATGAAAATAGTTTTCTAAATATGATTATCAAGTTATGGAGCCTTTGTATCATTGATAATAGGGAAAGTCATGCCTATTCTTTTTTATTTCATTCAGCGAATTCGACTTTTGCGTCAATTGACTTTGATAATTGCACCAAAAAAAAAAAACCGACTTCCCAATTCTTCTTTGGGCCCCCCGGGGATGGCGCTGCCCAAATTCGTTTCGTGTTTTTTTTTTGGACCAGCATCTTTGCATGGGAAAATATTAGCTAAGAATTTTTAGAAAAAATTTATGAGTTAAGAATCAATATTATTTGAAATTGTATTGCAGTCTTTTAATCATTGACTGATATTATTTTTAATGTGGAATGAACTTATTGTCGCTAAAGTTTAAAATAAAAAAAGCCACTCCAATTGTAGTTGGTGCTGGTGTTGGATCATTGTTGGAGCCCTTGCCAGCTATGAAGTAGCCGGGGTCACTAGTGGCTAGTCACAAGGTTTTAGACAACACTGTTATTCAAGAATAATTGGCAAAGGTGGTTAAGGGAGGAAATGTTTGATTCAATGACCCGTTAATCACCTAAAAGGCTTGATAGTCTAGTAGCCATTAACCCGTTTAATTATATATGGCAAAAAATAATAATAATAAACTAAATTTTTAATCATTTTCATATTATAACATAATAATATGTTGTTAATTTTTAAACGGCACTTGTTATTTTATTAAAGTTACTTGTAAATCTAATATGAACAATTGCAAATTAATAGTTTTAAAATTTTATGCATTTTACTTGTTAAAAGACTGAATGTATTATTGTTAATTATGAAATAATTGTTTTTTAAAATTCAAAATGAATACTTATTAATGAATGATTAACACGTTCAATGAAACTCTTATTATTATTTTTAACTTATTAAAAGCCAAATAAATTATTGTTAATGTCGAATGAATTGTTATGAAAATATAAATGTATATTTGTTAATAAAGGATTAACACTTTGTAAAATTAAGTCAATATTATTTGTTTTTTTAAATTTGTTAAAGCTTGAATGAATTATTATTGTTAACTTAAAATGAGTTATTAAAACTCAAATTGTAACACACCAAATTTTTTTTTTAAATAATTTAACTCAACCATAATTGGGTTACAGCCACCCAACACATTTTTATATCTATAATTTCAATATAAAATATTTTATAATTGACTTCAACTCACACACTATAACATTTCAGATAAATTTTACCTCCCACATGCCATTAGGCTAAATCACATTTGTCCATCCTTATACTCCCAACAAGTAAAATAAGCAATTTAGTCAATTTTCAATACAAGCCAGTTATTTGGCCTTATGATCATGCCATTTTAACCAATCCAAAGTAAACCAAATATTAAAATTACAGTAATCCAAATTGTACCAAAAATAGAAATAGTTTGAGAGGCATGATTACATTTATATATTCATATAATTGACAATAAACAAAAAGCCCTAATATTGGCAATATAACACATTATAAATCATAAATTAAATACCCAAAAGAGACAGTGGATCTATACCACTAAGCCTCTGGAACTCCTCCACGTGTCACTCGTGGCTCTTCTCCTGAAAATTTGTTAACCACATAATGAGACTCAAAAGTCCCAGTAACCAAAGCCAATTTATGATAATGTATACAAACAGTTAAGTGTGTGTTTACTAAGTGAGAATTAAAAATAATATAATTTCAACAAATATAAGAAATATTACAATACACACAAACAACCATCCTTATATCCCTCCATTAACCTCGAGCCGTAGCCCTCACTCGGTGCTAAATTACCCGGCCAAAGGTAGATTAGCCCGAGCCCTTACAAGCCACCTATTGAGCTCCAATAGGGGCGTACCACGTGGCACATAAATACAACAACAATAGCAAGTTTCCCAACACCTCCCACAATAATCAAATAAATTTATAATAATATTACACAATTATATAATATTATAAAATTTATAATTTTCTCAATAATCACCCAATTAACATGAAGTAACACTAATCATAAATTAAAAGCATAGTTACCTCGTGGCTTTTTCAATAAATTATTCCTTAAAATTTCTCTCTCACCACAATCTTCACCAGTAATACAATCTACAAATAACATATTATTTATAAATATTAGTTTTAATTTTTGAAACTAATAAAATAATTCTAATAATAGAATTAAAAATATAATATAATTCCTAATTTCAATCTTAATACAAATCTATAGTTAATACTATTAAGTAAAATTTTTAAATCCTCTTTTAATTATCAATAAATATTAATAATCTAAAAATCAACTTCTAAACTAATTTCTATTATCAAAATTTTCTTTTTATTTCATAAATTCGTACCTAAAATACCCAAAAATTAAAAATTGAATCTCTAACTTAGAATCATAATCCTATAACCATAATAATTCATTTCTCGTCCCAAATAATCATCTAAACCTCAATAAATCAACATATATTTTCAGATCTAGTCTAGAATTTGATCCATAAGCCACAAATTCAAAGATCACCAATAAATTTATACTCTAGAATATTTATTATACTACTAACAACCTCAAAAACTATATTTATTCAACATAAATTCATCCCTCTTCCAGATCTTAAATTTTCTACCACTACAAAATCAGAAACCAAAGAAGAAGGATGACTAAGAAAAAATTTTAGAACACCTACTTAGTCTTGAAAAGCTTAAAATCACACCCTAAATATCCTATTAAAAACTCTTACCTTAAAACCCAGCACCGGTGAACTTGGCTCACAGATGCTCTCTCTGCCTCAGCTCACGCACGAAAGAATGAATGAAGAAATGAAAGGAAACGGGTGAGTTTTATAAAAATTCAGTGGGTCCCACACATTTTTTTTTATTTACTCTTTCCTCTCTCTTCTTCTTCTTTTTTTTTTTATTATTAAACATAATCATTGCCGGGAGAGCACCGAAAGTTCACTCCTTCTTCCTTTTTTTTTTAATACGTTTTCCCTTTTTTTTTATTAAAAATAATTTAATAATATATTTTTTATTTTTTTTTAATTTTTTTAGAATTATATCCTAAGTTAGATTTAATAATCATCTCTTACTAATTTTCTTACCTCTAAATATTATTTTTTTTATTTCTATTAATTCAATTAACTATTAAAATTTAAATTGGGATGTTACACGAATGGATACTTGATGAAAGACTAACACGTACAATTATGCATATTCTATTCATTTTTTTAACTTATTAAAGCCCAAATAGATTGTTAACTTTAAATGAGTTGTTGTTAAAACTTAAACGGATACTTGTTAATGAAAGACTGGCATTTACAATTATGCCAATTCTATCCTTTTTTCTAACTTATTAAAGCTCAAACGGATTATTATTAACTTTGAATGAGTTGTTGTTAAAATTTGAATAGATATTTGTTGATAAAAGGCTAACACTCACAATTATGCCAATCCTATCCATTTTTATTAAAGTCCAAATTGATTATTGTTAACTTTTGAATGAGTTGTTGTTAAAACTCGAATGATATTTATTGATGAAAGACTAGCACTCACAATTATGCCAATCCTATCCATTTTTCTAATTTATTAAAGCCTAAATAAACTGTTATTAATGTATAATGAGTTGTTAAAATACAAATGAATATTTGTTGACAAAAAACTAATACATACAGTTATAATCATTCTATCTATTTTTCTAACTTGTTAAAACCTAAATAAATTATTATTAATTTAAAATGAGTTATTGTTAAAATTCAAATAAATATATGATATTAATGATTAAAAGTATATGTCTAATAGAACAAGTGTATGAATAACAAACCTATGAAACTAGAGTTCCATGATCTTGACAAATTGTGGGAGAACGATAGTTAGGTCATAGAATATTAAATTAATGATAAATAAGTTTTCGACGACATGTTTTATAAAATGAGTTATAAATATGAATCAAACAATTATAAATAAAATTTTTTGTTACAATTTAAAAATTAAATTTGATATTTAAATATGTATTTATACTATTAAAAATCTTAAATATAATTTCTGGATGAATATTTTTAATTAATTTTTTATAAAAACTTATTGAATACTTGATTAATGTTAATTCAGTGTTTTGGATTTAGCTGTCATTTTTTATTTAAAAAAAATCATACAGTACAATAAGATCAAAATCAAAGAAGC